AAGGATACATCTTTTTTTCAATATTATTATAATTATTATTATTATTATGATTATAATAATAATAATAATAAAAATAATAATAATTATTTTTATTATTATTATTATTATTATTATTATTATTATTATTATTAATACTATTGTCGTCGTCGTCGTCATCATCATCATTGATATTATTATTATTATTATTATTATTATTACTATTATTATTATTATTATTATTATTATTATTATTATTATTATTATTATTATTATTATTATTATTATTATTATTATTACTACTATTGTGAGTGGATTTCCCGTACGATTAAAAATCATAACGGTACTGGGTTTGGTCTACAGGAGTTCGTGCTTCGGACAGGTCATTCCATTCATAGAAGAAGCCTTTTGATGGAGAAAGTGTACACCTATTAACAAAGGTTTGCCCAGACCGAAACTAACTCTCGCTATATAAAATTGATTATATAATTGAAAAATATTAATCTTATTATTGTAGTAGTGATAGATACTATGTACACGTTTAAATTATTGTTATTTATTTGTTATGTCATTATACATTATTTACATTTTAACTTAATGAATTTTTTAGGTATGAATTACTATATCCATCGTAAAATTAATCTTATCAATTATTATTTTTTTTTAAATTAAATAATATAGTAGGCATAGCCGAGGTCTAGCCTAGGCTAGATCTAAACGAGTGACTATATTATGTGAGTGTATAACATTATGGAAAATATGAATAAAACGTAAAATTGTGAAAGAATAAAGGAAGACGGAAGAAAAGGAAAGAGATTTGGAGTGGCTGAAATTATTTCCGAAAAATATACTCGAATTATGAAAAGTGTAGGCTGTGGCACCAAGACCTCTGATGATTAGTGCCCAAAATTGTTTACAAAAACGTAATGCAATAATAGCGTATTGACTACTTTTGTATATTTTCGGAAATAATTTCAGCCATTCATTTTCATTTCAGCAAATAAATCGAATGTAACATTATTTTAATGAGTTAATTTCACTAAAGTGGTTGCACACGCATTTTGAATTTGCACTGCGCCACTTTAGTTTTGCACTGCACCACTTTAGTTTTGTACCGCGCCACTTGACTTTTGCACTGCAACTGACTTTTGCACTGCGCCACTTGTAATTTGTCCTTTTGGCGTTCCATAGTAATGCTTGTTACGTTGTTATTTCTCCACGCGCATGCATGAGCACCTAACACTGGATGGGAACTCGCATATTAAAGCATTTGAAGAGTTCACGTCATTGTAAACAATTAGCCAATGAGGACTGCTTCACCCTACTTGACTCTGCCTCTAAAACCCAAATTCTCAAAATTAAAGAACTAGCCTTGCATATTCAGTGGGAGCAGCCCTCCCTGAATTAACAGCTTCTTCATACTAATTTATCTTTGTCATTCTAAATTCATTCCATTCTCCCCTTTTTGGCATAGATACTGTACTCCGATTTAGACAAACTTAGGCAAAGGAGAAATTATTAAGTTCCCCTTAAGGTAGGTTTTAGTAACACAATAATTAATAATAATTCATAATAATAATAATAATAATAATAAAAATAATAATAATAATAATAATAATAATAATAATGATAATGATGATTAATGATGAGAAGGATGATGTTGAAAATGATGATGGTGATTATGATGAAGAAGTATAATTATAGAGATTATAATGCTAATGTAAATAATATTTATAATTATAATACGGTACCGATAACGACAACAATAACATGAACCATAAAGAGATATAATAATAACTAGATTTGAACTCGTCACTAAGGACGAGTTAGGTGATCCGCTTGTAAGGCAAAAGTAATCTCTCGGCGTTTAAAAACTATGAATTATGGAAAAATACCGTAGCCAGGATTTTTAAACTGTGCAGGACAATATTTAGCCTGCCGCCCACTCTCGGAATGTTAACAATTTGATAAAAGATGAGGGGGTTCAGAAAAAAAAAACATTAATTTTTACCATGATGACGTCATCAAAGTGGACAGGTAATGACGCACTTATGAAAGAGAATTGTCCCAGCTCTAACATGCTCGAAGGTGGGAGATGATCGATCAAGATTAAGCGTTCAAATGAGTAAAAATAATGACGTCATAAATAGAAATTCAGTTTTGTAAAATTCAGATGGCAATATTATGACGTCACAATATCCGATCAGCCTTAATATTCTATAAAATCATATCTACTCATGTGCTTTCAGAATATGTAATAAAAATTGGGGGTCACGTGCTTCTAAAGGAGCTTTAACTGAAAATAGACATGAGCTTGGCATATTTATAATCTTGCTATTTTCAAGACAAGATTGAAGACTCATCTTCAATACCTGTTACTAATTTCAAATTTTCATACATTTTTTTTTCTGCCTTTTGTTTTTTGTGATTTGAGTATAGGCTTGATTAGATAGATGCCTTACATCATGAGAGCATCTGTGAATCATGTGCCGGCCAACCATTGCCTGTCAATGGTCTTAAATTGCAGGCGAACGATGCAGTGATGTTTGGTTCTTCTGCTCAGTCTGTTTCTCTGCATCTGTAGTTTGGTTACAATAGGACTTGCCTTTTGTTTTTGTTTTTCCAGCGCATTGAGACTTCGGTATAATGCGCTATACCAAATCCCACTACATTACATTACATTACAAACGCGCAAACGGAATTGTATATTTGATTCGCACCTACGGCATTGTTATTGGCTGAAAAAATATCTACCTTTCGTACGTGCTGTGCGCGTGAAAAGTTGTGCGCGGTGCGGAAAATGTGAACAATGTTAAAATGCTTAAAATGCCCTGAAACGTGCTTTAATTTAGTCAAGAAGTGAGAGAGATAATAAGAATACTAGAGCGCTAACTGCAATGTATTCGATGTTCAAAATACGCAGAGCTGTGTGTGTACCATCTAAGATGGCTGCCATAGATTCCATATGAATTTGTAACAGCCAAAAATAGCACCTAACAGAACTGATTAATTCTTGCTTTCTAGCGCGTATCATTCAATGTTTCCTGTGCGAGTTCAGCGCGTGATGTAGGCTACGTATTAGTGAACCAGCGAACGCTTGCATTCATTTCGCTGTAACATGTGAATTTTGAGGGAAGCAAAATTATAACTGCAAACCTAATTATATTTACATGATGAGAATCTACTAATCTTAAGCTTTCCATTCATATATTTCATGAAGTAAAAAGAGCAATAGAAAGGGTCTAACTTATCAAACAAACACCAGGCACACTTCAGTCTTCGCATCAATCGCCGGAGAAAAATGATTACGCTGAAACAGCGCCTGTATATACAATACAGTCAATGGTGTTTGGAAGGCTTGATTCTATTGGTTTCCAAAAGTGACAGAGCTAAAAATTGACTAATCACAACCATTTTTTACAACAAGTATGGTAGAAAGAATAAAGATCACCTTACAGAGAGAAAGAAACCGATTGGTCAAATACTTTGCGAGTTATTCTGATTAGAATTTGGTAACATGAGCCGCAAAAGGTAAAAAAATCTGCTTCCTACGCTGGAAATCCAATGTAGTTGCCTACTTTTAATCGAAAAGTGACAGGATAAAAAATAAATCTATCTCGTTTCATTTCATCTCATTAGAAAGATGAAAGATAGATCTTTTATTTTAAAAAAGGATTGATCTGATGAGCAGTTCCAAAGTTATGGTAGAAAAGGCTGTAAAAAAGGGTGTTTTCAGGTTTGTTTTAGAGCAGTTTTATCAATTTATGCCAGCGCGCTACTAAAGAGCGCGTACAAATTCATATGTCCAATCAAATTTCGCCTAAGCACTATAATTTTCAATGGCGCCCTCAATTTACACAGAAAGTTCAGTAGAGCTAGTTACTAGTATGGGTGTAATGTACACGATTTAAATTTTTTTTTTTTAATTTGATGCTCTACTTGGCCTCTTTTTAGCTACTATAGTTTAATAATTTGTTATCAATACTAATTATCATTAATGAAATAATAGTCAGCAGATGGCTTATTTATGGTAATAATATGTATACTAAACCTGAAGGTGGCGCTTTCCTTCGGCGGCCATCTTGGATGGTACACATGCACAACTCTGCATTTCTTCGCCATCTTGTCAGCACTCTAGTTGTTTAATAGCTCTATGTTTTGACCATATTAAAATTTTGACGCACGTGTACTTATGCACGCGTTATGAGGCGTGCATGGAACATTAAGATACATGAAAATTCAACCTTGACCTGAAGTTTATGCCCACTTAATATGATTTGGAAATTACAATTGGTTAGGATGATATGATCGATAATGTAAAAACGCAAAATTGCGCGTAGAGGACGTCACGCATGACTGATAACCTTGGAAACATTATTGTGACTATTCCAAGACAAGCCAAATGTTCGTTGAAGTTTTCATGTTAGCAAAGATAATAAATAGCAGAAGATAGAGCAGCTTCCCAATATAGTGGAACATCCGTACAAAAATCATTGTGGGTACACGGAGAGCAATTTTACTCCGTCCGCGCGGCTGCGCTATATAGTAATGATAAAGGCGCCGCTCTGGTTCGCTTGTTTCTGTAGTTTCTCCACTTAGTAATATTCAAATTTTACCCCATTCGCGGGAGGGCGGATGTTCCATCAATGCTAATGCAAATACGCGAACAGCTCATTCTTCTGTTATTTAAGTTCTTTGATGTTAGTAGCTCTTAAAAATTTTGAGATATTGTGCTCACAAAAATGGGAAGAAAGAAAGAACAAACGCATGATGATGATGATGATGATGATGATGATGATGATGATGATGATGATGATGATGATGATGATGATAATGATGATGATGATGATGATGATGATGATGAACCTTACACTCACAAGAAGTGATCTGCTTGAGTTGCAGATTACCAGTAAAAGATAAGAAATATATATTAAATAATAGAGAGCTTTACAAAAGCAGCTAAGAATACTTAACATAAACACAATTACACTAATAAAATAATTTATTTATTGGAACAAATATACCTCTAACAAATAATCGTAGAATAGCGTGCTGACCAAAGTGTCGTTGTCCTTCCGGGTAGCATTCATAGATACCAGCGTCTTTTTTCCGGACGTTTTCAAGGTTCACGTTGCTTAAACCTTCCCATTCCATGATATCGGATCCTCCATCTTTTTTCCATCGTAATTTACTGGCATTAACCCCATTATGAGTCATTACCAGATGAACAGTTTCACCGATACTGGTTGTAATAGTTCGGTGTTCTGGTACAACGGTGGCTAGAACAGTAATGCAGTTATTTAGGTATACATTAGGTTACTTTGCTGTAAAGCGTGATATCAGTTTTTCTGTACACTTCGTATAATTTTTGTGATGAATAAAAATGGATTGTTAAGAATCAAACTGTCAGTTTAAAGCTGATTACTTACTGCGTGCGACGGCGACGGCAACGCGACCAAGAACGCACGCAATGACACGGACCCAACGGATCGTCTTTTTAATGAGGATCCGTTCAGATTGCCACTGACAATCAGCAGACGGCGTTGCGTCGCCTATTGCACGCCGAAAGCAAATGTGGATTCCTCGTGCGACGGTCGTACGACCGTCGTCGACGCAGTGAGTGTCCGGCTTTACTATACATGTTTGTACTAGTACACCTATATACATTATTTATTGCATATTGCAGTACCCAATACTCGTAGATAAAACGTGTCTTAACAGGAATATCAAGAGGTGTATACCACTTGGGCCCCATAGCTTAGTTGGTAGAAAATGCGAATGTTAACTGGAAGGTCTTGGGTTGAAATCCCAGTGGAGACAAATGTGGCAAAGACAAGTCACTCGTCGCAAATCGTGTTTCACAGAAGATGGCCAAAACATGCTGGAATGTCAAATTTTTAAAAATCTATTTTATTGCACTAAACTAATCTTTACATATCTATACATCATTCTATGCTGTTATTTTCCCCATTTTCAATGTTAAAACAACACTTTCTAAGTATTTGATGATAGTTTCTGCATGAGAAATGCCTGAAATCATAAACTTTGAAGACTGATTTCTCATATATTGTTCTTTAAACAGCTGTATGTTTAAATGCTTGTAACTTCATAAGGAAATGTCCGATTTGAATGATTTTTTTTACCATTTTATAGCTATTATTTTACTCTCTAACACTGTATTAATAACTCAAAATCGATTTTTGCGACGAGTGACTGGTTTGGCTTGTCTTTGCCACAAATCTGTGATTATCACCAGTGCTGGGTGTTTTTCCATACTTTTGTAACTAAAGACGGCAGAGGCTAATATAAATGGTAGTCGGATTACTCCCTCGTTATTTCACATCAGAGATATATACTGGAACTACAAATAGGCATACGTACTGTATACATTTACAAACAATACTACACAAACGTCAATTCAGTTGATCCACTCACCATTTTTTGCTAGAAACACCATTGATGCTGAAGCAATGCAACCTTTAAATTCTGTCCACATGTATTTTACACCGATTCTGCGTACAGCAACAACAGGGGGAAATTTGAGCCGACATCTAATAAATGCGATCATTGTTGCTATGCATTCATTGTAAGTTGTACCAGAAGTGAATATAGAATCGTCATGATTGTTGTCTAGATTTACCAACTCATTCTCCCCATAATGTGTCCCGTTGTCGTCCACCCATAAACCGATACCAAACATGACGTTGAAGTTGTTGCCATCCTCCATGCCGGTGTAAGCACGCATATCTATTTCATTGTTATCATCCACAATGAAGGAAGTACTACTTGCTGTAATATCAGGTATTTTGTCTGAAATATTCAAAAACAATAAAGTTACTTTTTTACTATAAGGTTCAAAGCTGTAATAGCCATCATTTCTTGGCCAATGCTCTATCTTTTTACACAAGGTTTATCCTTACAATTATCATTCACAAAGTCGTTGTTATTCGTAATCTAAATATAGCAAATGAAAAATAGAAAGCATTGATATCATATATTTAGACATAAGCAGTCTTTCAAAGCTGGAAATAGATGATTAGCAATGTGGCTAATTATTATGTAAATGATTAGCAAAGTGAAGTTTGATTAGCATAGGAATAAAAGAATTCATATTATATCTACAAAGAAAAATTGATGGTCCAGCTTAAAAAAAAAAAAATAATATAACAATTATGCTTAAAAAAGTTTGATTAAAACTTTTTGCATCGTCACCTAATGTAAAATTACAGGTAGCATCCTCATTGACTCCAGGGCTGGTTTGACTATTTATACCTGTAAGAAAAAATAAACATACATACTTCAGGTAACTATACTTTTAGCAATTTGTGGTCACACAATACATTAACTATTTTGACGCTCACATCGACTTGAAAACACTCTATTCAGCTTTAGTGTTTTTAAATTTTATTTAGATTAAAAAGAGATTTTACCCAAAATATGTCCCCTCCTCTGTGTGACCACGACTCGTGGTTATGCCACTGACAATTAAGGCATAGAATTACAATATCTTAAAACAAACCATGAAGTTTGCTTGCCATTTCAAATACACAATGACAGTTTAACTTATTGTTTACATGTTGCAATTGGTTTGGTGAAAGAATACATTAATAGTTGATTTCTTACCCTGAGTTTGCCAGAATAACAGTGTACTGATGAAGATCTAGTGAAAATAGTAATATATGCTTACATTAAAATACGTTATTTTCAAGGTTTATATATCTTTTAATTGATCCATTATAAAACAAATGTGATTGTCAAATTCTGAAAACCTGTATTTACTAAAATTTCAAGATAAGCATGTTAGTGAATAAAGAAGTGTAAACAAAATACAAATACATTGATAATAATTCGGAAATATACATTATATCAATATTACATTAAAATATTATAGAGTCCTCATTAGTATTATAACAATATATTAAATTCATAATAACAGAATTGGTTTCTTTTATGTTTAGCCACGTATAATAAAAAAAAAATACACTTAACAAATCTTACCTTGTAAAGTTCCATTTTACAAGTTTAAATGTAGTCTAGAACTAGGGTTTACATCTGATCAATAAGCGTAAAAAAACAAAACTGGTCAGTAGCAGGATGAAACTCATTAATATAATTCGATGATGAGAATCCAAACATCTGGCAATCAAAACGTTGACATAGGCATGTAAATACACATCAAAAATGTGTATGACGCCTCGTTACATCTATAAAATGAAGTCAATAATTATTAATTTTATAGGTTTTGTTTTTTGTACATTTACCTATAGTAATGGATTATAATTGTACACGTAAAAGACAGTTACATAAGTGGATGGAGAATTTTCGTGTTTAATGCTATTAGATTTAGCACACTACATATACAATACTAATTTAAATGAAGCCTGTAAGTCCAAATAAACTGTTTAGTGAAAGAGTATAGGGAAGTGTAACTATGTGGATTTCGGTGATAGACCTGGGTTTAGCTTTAATATCGGCTTACTTTAACAAATTATATGTCCCGCCAAATGGAACTATCTAATGTCTTCACGTGCAATTACCATATATACATTATATGACAAGAAGTATGTAACAACATCACCAACAAAAGGTGAGGTAAATCCCTATATTATTATTATTATTATTATTATATTAAACGATTGTCGGCAATCGTGAATTTGTTTAAAATAAATTGATACAAAAATTTGAAAGTTATCTTAAACTGAAATAAGAATAATATTAATGGACATTATAGTAAGATTTTAGTGGTATAACAAAATGCTTCCTGGCCTCATATCTTGAGTACAGTGTCAACAATAGAGAAGGTCGGGTAAGGCAACACAATTAAACACATTTAAAACAAACACATATAAAACAAACCTTAAAAATTATATTATTATTATTTAATTATAGTAAAATGGCCTACCAATATTTTTATATTTTTGCAATTGTTATTATTTGCATGACTGCGTACACACTTTTAATTTTTTGTTTGTTAATCCACCTAATTTATTTACAAGTGAAAAGAATTGATTGATTGATTGATTGATTTTGGATAAATTCATTCTATATGGTAGTTTTATTTTCTTCCTATGTGTAACATGCCATAACAGTTAAAATAGTAAACGAATAATATTAAATATAAAAAAAAAATATGTATATGTAAAAGCGTTAGTAATAACCAGTCCTCTGGTCTTCTTCAGCCTTATGTATGTTGATGACTTAAAACTGTATAGTGTTGTCAGCACCAAGGAGGATGCCAGGTATCTTCAGGAGGATCTGGATGCTGTCCTCCGTTGGTGTGGGCGCTAAGGTATGTCCTTAAACGTTTCTAAGTGTAAATTTATGTCTATTTCCCTTAAAATTAAACAAACAAGTGTATTTTAATTATAAGATTGCGGATGTTTTATTAGAGAAAGTTTTGTTTCATCGTGATCTTGGTGTATTTATTGACCATTATCATTTTGTAAACATGTTGATTTTATTATTTGCAAGGCAAACAAAATGCTTGGTTTTATTTGGAGAAATTGTCGGAATGAGTCAAAAAGCTATCAGTTCGCTGTATCGTACCTTAGTTACCTCACATTTAGACTATTGTTGCGTTATTTTTAATTCTGTCTCCAATTCTCAGTTAAATCCTATTGACAAAATTTATTTTAAGTTCAACAGATTCTTTGTCAACTGTTTTGAGTACTCCTGTAATCTCTTGCGGCCCACTGATAAAAATACTTTGTTTGATATGTTATTTTTGTATAGATGTGTTAATTCACACTACAGTTCTAATTTTGTTCATCTGTTCGGTCTTCATGTTCATTACCTCCGCCAACGAAGTTGGCAGGAGGTATGTTTTCGCCTGGTTTTAGCTATTTATTTGTCTGTCGGCATATTTGTTGTGAACAGCATACAGCCCATATTTGTTATCAGAAATTCATCAAACTTGGCCACAATGTTCCTTTACCTAAGATCTAGAGCTGATTAAATTTTGAAGGGTCAAGGTCAAAGGTCAAGGTCACAATCAACGAAAAACTTTTTTTATTTATTTCTACAGCCCATAGTTTTAATCACAAACTTGTCAAACTTGGTCACAATGTTCAATGACCAAAGATCTCATTACCTCTACTAATGAAGTTGGCAGGAGGTTATGTTTTTCCCCTGTTTATTTATTTATTTGTCTGTCGGCATATTTGTTGTGAACTGCCGACAGCCCATAATTTTTATCAGAAATTCATCAAACTTGGCAACAATGTTTCTTCACTTCTAGTCTTCTAGAGCTGATTACATTTTTTAGGGTCATTACTTTTTTATGGGTACAATATGTGGGTGAAATTTATACTGAGGAGAATTGTGATGTAAGCGGAGGTATAAACTCTCCGATTGCCCACTAGTTGTAGAATTGTTGTGCATGTCTTTGATTTCAGTCGTGTTTGTGTTTGTAAACGGGGTTTTATTTCTAGGTTACCTTCTTTTTACCACCGTATTGTTTCTGAAAATAGTAACATTGATATCGCTGTTGGTTTGGAAATAAATAATTAAAAAAAAAAAGTAATATTGATCAGTATAATTATTTAAAGAAGATCTTATTTTCACTTAAGTCTCTTAAAAAAAAACAAAATCTTGAATAATAAAAACAAGTTTTTTCTTGTTTAATAAGATTCTAATTGTGTAATGTTCTATTGATATTTTTGTTACCTACAGAGTAATGTAAGGTTTAACTTATAGTATACCATCATCCTCCTGTTCTTGTGCTACTAATACAAAGTATAAAATAGTTTGTGATATTAAAACAAGTTTATGCATATGAATCTAATAAAAACATAAATTAACAAGATAATCTGAAATTACAAACCCTCACCCTGTTGGGCCATATCATTGTATAAAGTCGATTCGCTTGATCCGCTGGTTGTTGTATTATAAGGGTGTAATATTGCCAGCTAAAATACATCAGATGAAGTCAGGGAACAGTGAAATTCATTAATTTTACTGTTCCCTGGTGAAGTGTATCCAAGCTCTAAAATTACGCGTCGTATTATGTGTAAAGTTGTTTGTCTGTGGACCTCATTGGAAATAAGTCTTACTAGGACTTCCATAGGCATTCCTTGCATCTCTGTCTGTTGTGGTTTTTTTTCTGTTACCTGCCTCTTTTCATAATTTGACTTTTGACATAATTTTGAAGTAGTTAAGTTTTAATTTCATAAATAAAATAAATAAGATATTTATTTGAACTGAATCTTAAAATCAAAAATTAAAAAAATATATGTTTATTAGATTAAGGTTAATTATTTACCTAATTTTTATATTTTTTATGTATTGTTTTATGTATTTTACTATGAATTGATATGCGAAAAAATTCAAATCAAATCAGTCAAATGTATGGGGTTCAAACCTCCTCTCTTTTTTTTTATAAGTTACTTTGTATTATATTATCCTTAACTTTCTATTATTTGTGCATTTATAGAATACATTTTGCCATGTTTTATTATTTTTCACGATTTTTTTTTTTGTATAAATTTGGGGCAACAAATTGTGAGATATGCGGCCTGAAAGTATTTGAAACAATCCAAAATCTGCATCTTACTTTTGCACTCCATCCGTCAAACGAGTCCTATCATCGTAGGCCTCAGGTGGCAAGCCATCAATCGGGCTTACACGTCGTCCAGACAGCTTCATGTCTGTCAGCCAAAATGTGGCACATGGACGATCCAAACGAGTCGGTACGTATGGAACGCCAAAAGGACAAAATACAATAGGTAGCAGTGCAAAACCGAGAGTCAGCAGTGCAAAACTGAGTCAATAGCGCAAAACTGAGAGTCACCAGTGCAAAACTGAGAGTCAGCAGTGCAAAACACAAAGTCACCGTGCAAAACTGATTAGTGCAAAACACTAATTATTAATTATTTCAAACACTTAATTTTTGTATTAATTGTAACGCTTATACGCACCCCCCCCCCTTTCAAAATTGTCAATGGTCACTAAGGAGTGCCCAATTGTGACCTCAAACTTTCATTCATTTTACTTGTTGACACCGTCCAAAAAAGCTGTGAAACTTTAATTCAAAATAGAGGGCGTCCACTTGAATTGCACTGTCATTGGAGTTTTTCATTGCCACCAATGTTTTGCACTGTGACTCTGTTTTGCACTGTGACTCTCAGTTTTGCACTGTTAGGCCTACTCTGTGTTTTGCACTGCTGACTCTCAGTTTTGCGCTGCTGACTCTCGGTTTTGCGCTGCTGACTCTGTGTTTTGCACTGTGACTCTCAGTTTTGCACTGTGACTCTGTGTTTTGCACTGTGACTCTCAGTTTTGCACTGTTACTCAGTGTTTTGCACTGCTGACTCTCAGTTTTGCGCTGCTGACTCTGTGTTTTGCACTGTGACTCTCAGTTTTGCACTGTGACTCTGTGTTTTGCACTACTCAGTTTTGCACTATGACTCTGTGTTTTGCACTGGTGACTCTCAGTTTTGCACAGGTGACTCTCAGTTTTGCGCTGCTGACTCTCAGTTTTGCGCTGCTGACTCTCAGTTTTGCAATGCTAGCAACTGTATTTTGTCCTTTTGGCGTTCCATAGTATGGAGTGCGGTCAATCCGCTTGAGTCGGCCCGCGATTTTTTTTCCGTACGAAACATTTGCATGAAACTTCACTCGGGCCATCTCGGATTGACTCGAGTGAGTACGATACGAGGAACAAGATCAGACACTTCGCAATGTCGTGACGCTCGAGTTTTACTATTACTGTATTGCTCTTTCTATGTTTACCTACGGTAGGCCTATGAAATCTCACGACTTATGGGATGTACGTGTGTAACTAACTGTGACCTTCTTGGATGTTATTAAATGTTAGTATATTATCTACAACAACAACAGCTAGTACCTCCTGTTATAAAGTGTAGATAGGTACTCAGTAATACCAAAGGCTAGAGAGAAAGAGGCCTAACAGGCTGAGCTAGGGTCATAGGCTGACACCAACATACTGACATTGACTGAAATTTTTTTGGGAAAAAATAGGACAAAATTGAAGCATGAAATAAAAAATAGAGCGCATAGAGAAATATTATTAAATAAATAATATACCATTCCGGCGTTATTGAACTTGTCCAAACTATCATTGTAATGTAATTAATGTTAAATAATAATAATTTCATTGGTAATTGTACTTTTTTGCATTATTAATTACCTTGGCCTTGTAATGAAGAACCTACAGATACCGTACTATTTACTAGGCTTATAAATA